AGTTTAGGGCAACTTTTCTTGGCGGAAAAAAGTTTGGGGTATCAAAGTTAAAAGTCCAGTAAATTTTGGGGTGTTTTAAGTTCGAAAACTCTTTTTGCAAAAAAAAAGTGCTCCAATTGCATAAGTTGAACTCAGTGTTTTCAAAGGCAGCCTCCATGCGCCTCATGCGCCCTGCCATGCAAGGCAGTGGAGAAGCGCCCCACATCTGATGCAGCATACATGTAACACATAACCTCATATATTTTTGTTCATTAATATTTCAGTTAGGTCTTTATAATCGATAACCCATAACCCAAAAAGCAAAATAAATCCATTAGGAATTTTTACTAGTCTGCAATTGAGGACCCTAACTAATCCTCACTAGTTAATTTTGCTTGGATACATTGTACTAAATATCAGCCGATATATCGGTGTTGAAGCCTCACTGCAACGATATTGATAGAAATATGGCAGTTTTCGTTATTTGGGATTTTTTTCGATATATCAGCAAATATCAAAAAAATCGGCCGCTACATCGCCCTGCAAATAGCGACTGGTTTTCTGAGTTTTTTTGTTATAAAATTTTAATTGTTGGTTCGGGTTTAGGAACCCAAACCTGATCCGAACCCAAACCCGCAATCAAAATATAAAACTGAAATCCAAAATCGGATCTTAAAAAGAACCCGATGCAAACCCTATTTTCTCTCCGCCGCACACTGTCCTATTTTCTCTTCGCGCCTTCGAAGCTTCCTATCCCGCCATCGAGTCTTCTCTCCTACCATCGACTCTTCATCTCCGGCCTTCCAAGCTTCTGTCCCGCCTTTGAAACATCCTCTCCGGCCTTCGAAGCTTCTCTCCCGCTGTCAAATCTTCATCTTCGGCCTTTGAAGCTTCTCTCTTGCCTTTGAAGCATCCTCTCCGACCTTCGAAGCTTCTCTCTTGCTGTCGAATCTTCTCCCCCAGCTCCGAAGCATCATCTCCATCCTTCAAAGCTTCAGGTTTGAGTTTCTCTTTCTTTCACTCAGTCTCTTCGATGCTTCCTCTCTGCCGCCCCTAATGTCTCTCAAGTCTCTCTTTCAAGTTATTTTTATTAGAAATTGAAGGAAGAAAGTGAAGAAAGAGGAGAAATCTCTATGGTGAAGAAGGTAACTTGAATGCAACTAGTTTTATTTAATTTTGATTTATATTATCTAACATTTTTGACTAAAATTATTTTTTGGATTTAAATTGAATATTTGGATTGAAATTATGGACTGAAATTCAATTGTGGACTAAAGTTGAAGTTTTTAAATTGAAATAAAAATGAAGGACTAAAGTTGAAATATGTATTAATGTTATGACTGAAATTGAAACATGTATTCAATTATTTGGCATGAATTTATTGCTCCAGTGCCCTCACCAATAAAAACTGGTCAATTTGGACTGAAATTAAATAATAGAAAAGTAAGTTCAATTATATTTCCAACCTTTTAATAAGAAGCTTCAGGTCTAAGCAATTTAATTAATTTTGATTTATATAATCTATCTGAAATTAGTATTTGGTTTTAAATTGAATATTTGGACTGAAATCTAGTTTGTATTAATTATAGATTGATGTTTTTAAACTTAAATTAAGGACTGAAATCGAAATATGTGTTAATGTGTTATGTTTTTTCACTCAAATTGTTTGCTTTTGTGGCTGTCTCATTGGTATAGTTTGCTTATCCAAAACACTAAAATCCATGTTTGTTGAATGTGTAGGTGACAATAAGAAGATGTCGACCAAAGGCTAAGGATCAAGTGCTCCTCAAAAATCGGGATGTAAAGACCCTTGTTGGCAATATGGAGATATAGTCGGTTCCGACATCGGGAAGGTTCAATGCAAATTTTGCCTGCGGACCTTTAGTGGTGGGATAAGCTAGTTCAAGGCTCATTTGGCGGGGAAAATAGGAAATTGTAAGGCTTGTGACAAGGTTCCCGAGGATGTGAAGAAAAAAGTTCTTGAAATGTTAGAGAACACGGAAAAAAAGAAGGATGAAAATGAGATGAGATTGAATTCCTTATTGAGTAATGTGCATGTTGGGGAGGAGAAAGATGAGGAGAATGAGAATCCATCGCTTAGAACTAGAAGCTCATCCTCTTCATTGACGACAAAAGGGCCAATAGACTCTTTTGCATGTCGCTCCTCCGAGGAGACCACCACCTTGCTAGCAAAGGGAAAACAATCGGCAATTGATTCAAAGCATAGAAAGAAGGCAAGAGAGGATGCAAACAAGTATATAGGGAAATGGTTCAATGAAGTCGGCATCCCCTTCAATACCGCAACACTTCCCTCTTTCCAACAAATGGTGTATGCTATTGGACAATTTGGACCGTATATGCAAGCTCCATCGTCATATGAGTTGAGAGAGCCCCTTTTGCAAAGAGAGGTGAATGAAACAAAGTGATGGTTGAGAACTTCAAAAAGAATTGTGCGGTCAATGGGTGTTCTATATTGACCGATGCTTGGAGCGATCGGAAGCGAAGGAGCCTAATGAATATAGTTGTGTATTCTAATGGAGGGGCGATATTTTTAACTTCAGAAGACACATCAACCAATAAGCATGATGGGAACTTTATACTTTAGTTTGTGGAGAAGGCAATGCCAGAAAATATGGTGCAAATTGTCACAGACAGGGCTTCAAATAACATGGCGGCCTCTACTAGCTTGGCACAGACAAGGCCAAATATCTTTTGGACAACTTGTGTAGCACACTGTGTGAATTTGATGCTTTGTGACATAGCTAGAATCAAGTCAATTCGAAGTGCAATTCTGATGGGAAGAACTGTATCAGTGTACATTTACAGTCACACCAAGTCTCTTTAAGTGCTACGAGAGTTTACAAATAGAGAAATATTGAGACCTGGGGCAACGAGATTTGCTAGATCATTTCTTTCTTTGCAGTCGGTGAGGGATAATAAAAAGGAGATGAGGCAGATGTTCATCTCTGACAAGTGGATGGACTGCAGTCTATCATCAACGGGACCGGGTAAAAATGTATAAATATTTAATTTTGTAGTTATCTAGTATTTAAGTGGTAAATATTTTATTTCTGTTGCTAAAATTATTGCATTATGTTGTTTCTTGTTTGTAGGTTGCTAAAATTATTACAAGCAATAAATTCTGGGACAAGGTTGATTTTGCCCTTAAAATTTTTACTCCCTTGGGAAGATTTTGAGGAGAGTGGATGGTGATAAAATCTCGTCTATGGGGTTTGCTTATGGAGATATTTTGGCGGCAAAAGAGGAGTTGAAAGTGGCCCTCGGTACTGAAGAAAAGAAGTATCTTCCTATATGCAAGATGATTGATAACAAATGGGAGAACAAGCTTATGGAGCCACTACATAAAGCTGGATATTATCTCAATCCCCACTTTTTCTATCCATCTTTTGCGGAGATTGAAAAGAATGAAACCTACATACAAAGCGTAGTGGAATGTATGCATAAATTTTACGGGGATAATGATGACATTTTTGGTAGGATTGGACTTCAACTCCCTGATTATCAACATAGAAAAGGGTCATTTGGGAGCTCAATTGCCATCAAGCAAGCAGAAAGGCCCGATAGTAATCCCGGTAAACTTATCTTTTCATTTAAATTATTCCTTATAAACATCTATTATAAAAATTCTAATATTTTAAATTGTTTCTATTGACTAGTTACATGGTGGTATCTTTTGGGAATGATACTCCAGATCTTAGGAGGATGGCGATGAGAATTTTAAGCTTAACAGCTAGCTCTTCAGCTTGTGAGAGGAATTTGAGTACATTTAAAATGGTAATATATAATTGTGTTTTGGAGACTTGGAGTTAAGAGGCTTGGAGCACATTTGAGATAATTTTTTCTTTGTACTAATGATTTTGTTTTGTAGATTCACACAAAGAAGAGGAATAGATTAAGTCACAAGAAATTGCATGACTTAGTCTTTGTCAAGTTCAATGCAAAGCTCCGGCACAAACATTTCGACAAGGATAGAAAATTTTTACTTGCCTACGATGATGAAGAAAGGGTCATAGATTCGATGTTTCCCTCCAAGTCAACTTAGTGAAGAAAGTGATGATGAAGTGTTTCCGGGGGAAGAATTAACTTGGACTATGGACGGAAAGGTTTCGAGAGCTAATCCAAAGAGGAGAAAGAGTGCAAGAATGAAGCCATACCAAAGAAGGAGAAAGTCGGGGGGCATCATCTTCAGGATCAAATGAACCCGTCATAGATGACGAGGAAGAGTGGAAAACACCATCAGAGTCCTCATCGGGGTCGGATGGGGCGTGCACATTCACGGATGATATTTCGGCTCTCGATCCCGAAGAAGATTGATTTTGGTCATATTTGCTTCTATTTCATTTTGGTTGTGTTATCTTGGATTGATATGATAAATAAGTATGAACTGTTTGTGTAACTTTTAAAACTTGGTTGTGTGCTTGTTTTGCTTTATTTTATTAGGGATATTGACAATACTAGATCTCAAGTTAATTTGTGAGTTTTGTGATCGCACCTTAATTATGATGTTGATTCTAGATTCTTTGTATTGTTTACTTGCTTGATATTCTAATTTGACTAACAATATTTTCTTATTTTGAAGGTTACGCACTTGGAAGGTTTCATTATGTCGTCGAGAAGCAAGTTGCTATAATCGATTAGTCATCCTCAACATATATCATATATGATGTCATTATTTATGATGCAATTTCTTATTTTTAGAATACATTAAATGTGTTTATATTGCATATTAAAATGTTATGTGACATATGAACACCATCCGATATGAGATCCCGATATTTTTTACATATCCCCGATATATCCCTGATTTTCGCTCCGATATGGATTTTGGCCATCCGATATTTTCGATATTTAATAAACTGCTTGGATATTAGTCTTAATTAGACATTTGATTTGAAACATTATGAAAATTTCTACTATGCTGGATGTGTTAGCATTAGAAATAAAGAGCTTATCTTGTGATTTGCCAATAAGATAGTATTTATCATGGCATATTTTTTATGTGAATTCCTAGACATGTTCTTTCATGCTTGATCATCAATCTTGAAAAATTATGTGTACGGTGTATGTCTCGCATTACTTGGACGCGCGCATCGCGTTGCGCCTTGTGTATGCACGTAAGGATACTTTGTGCCCCACATTGCGCCTCGTGCGTTGACAACACTGGTTGAACTACATGCAGTTAGAACTACATGGTAGCTCCTACTACATTACAAGCAGTATCTCGCAAGTGGAGGAAGAATGAGCACTAGAATTACTGAGTAGGTTAGTGAAATATCAAAAAAATTATGACTTGAGTTGATATATTATTTGGTTTACTGAAGTTTTGTGTAACGGGACAAGGAAACATAGTTTTCAAGTATTCCTGTGATTATGAGTTAGATATTCTAGCAAATGAATACCTACTCTAATTCACTGATACGGTGATACCAATCCATCAAGCATGAACGATTTATGTCATAATCTAAATTCAACAAAAATGGATAAAATGACACTGTTAAGTACAAATATACAAGTAAACAGTGAGGCATTTTATTCGTGTAAAATATATTCCATGACAGAGTAATCCGAACAACAACAACATAAACGCAGCAGTGAGGTTATATACACATGGCAAAAGATGGAAGAAGAATAACCAAATACAGATGTCCAGTTCATAAATGCTAATAATAAGGCTAAGAGGACAAGTCAAGAGACTATTTTATGACAGCGGAAGCCCAATGGAAGGTGAAAACTAGAAACTGAAAAGGAATAAACAGTAGTTTATGCCACAACATGCAGTCTTTAAGCCCCTGCAATGGAAGGAAGGTACCAACATGTACAAAACGTAATGCACTTCCCAGCCAAGTGAAGAAGAAATAAGGTAACACCAAAGGTGAAGAATATGCAATCATGCAAGAACAAAAAAGTTCATAGGTCTTCGTTAAGGCAACCGCCAAACATATTTTCATAATATAGGGCTTCAATGCAGAGCAAGAAACATAAAAGAAAAGGGTAAGTGACAGAATGATGCCAATGGAAAGTAGGGGGCAAACTGACAAGAGAAAATATGTTTGCACAGAATGATGCCAATAGAAAATGGAGGCAAAGTGACGAGGATAGATGGCTGCATGGAGTTGAGAAATGAAAATAAGTGTACATATAATACAAAGAAATAGAATTGATTGCAACATATTTCTTAAACAATGCCTTATGACATGAGTTATTTATCATTGATTGTCTGATTTCTTTTAGAAAATATAATCCATCCTGCAAAGTTGTTTCTTTGTACTTCTCTAGTGTTCAGTAATTATCTGCCTATATCAATAACTACGGTAAGTATAGGACACCTTCCCGCTATTGATGACTGATACTTTCAAATAGGTCAAATGAACAAAAGTGACAGGGACATATCATAAGATAATCCCTTTCCCCTTCCAAATTCTCTATCATCCCTCTGACATCCAATTTTAATGTATAATTTATAGAAGTGAAAATTGCATGTACTAGTTGCCTGTGTTACCAAATTACTGTCTGCCACTTTCATGTTCCACTACCTAACATTCTGATTAGATAAAGAAACACCATGCGCACGAGCATAGTAGAAATGTGGATGTTATGATGATTTTGTGAATATAAATTATACGATACAGTTAGGATAAGAGTAAGTGCAATTTTTTTGGAGGTTAGAGGTTGTTACTATTGATGTAAAAAAAATAAACAAAATAAAATGTAATGAGAGGAAGAAGATAATGAAACATGGAAAAAGAGATAGAAACAGAACTCTCAAGATACCAACCTGGTATTTCTCAATAGACATGCGGTCGTCTTCAATCAGCTTAGATTCTTGTTCAAGCTTCCTAGCAATATAGTCCTTTACAACTGACAGTGTCAGGCACGGGTTCTTAGATAGTGTCTGAAGAACAACTATTGGAGGCAATACATCATCCCTTTCAATGTAAGTCAAAATCTCCTTCACTTCTTTGGAACAATCTTCTCCAAGCTCACCAAAGTACTTCAGCAGATCAGCAAAAAGTGATGGATCACCCCCTTGAGTAGAATCTCCAAGCTTCTTGCAGCATTGTATCAATCCTTCATGGTCGTGGGCTTGCATGTAGCAAGCAATTACTTCTTTATAAAGTTTCATCTTCTCATAAAGAAACAATAACCCATCTTTGAATGCATTCATTTCACAAAGAATAATGGCAAGATCAAGATCATATAAAGGATGCTCCATATCAGATGTCCATGCACTATTAAGCAAAGCCAAACCTTTCTGAAATCTTTCTTGTCGATTCCTTTGTTTCTCATTGTCCTGACTTTCAACACCTGACTTTTTCTTGCTCTCTTTCATTGACCCATTATTCACTTCTCTAGAGCTATCAACATAAGCATCATGACTATCAACACCATTTTCTTGTGAAATTGATGGAAAGCTTAAGTCATTTGATAGGTATAGCTCCAAAAGAGTATTATGAATTTCTAACTGAGCAGGTGAATCTTTCACCCGGGTGACATAATTTTCAAGAAATAACATAAGAGATTGAGAGCTATGTACAAAAATATTGATAAAATCCATTGGAGAAGGTAGCAAGGATAAGTAAGTGCCATTTGAGGTTGTCCTGTTTGATTCTCTAGTATCAGTGCAAAGTTTCATAAGTATCTCAATGGTTTCAGTAGGCTTGTGTTCTATAAGTATTTTACCATAGTCTTTTATGGTGACACCAGCTTGGCTTGGTTCCAGGCTCGAAATATATTGCAGTGCTTCTTGGTACCTACCTAGATCTTCAAGCAAAATCTTCAGGTACCATTCATGTTTCTCAGCTTTCTTTGCAACATACATCGCATGCTCATGATACCCAGCAGTTCTGCAGACTCTAATAGCTGTTTCCACATCAAACTTGCGTTCACTGACTTCATCTTCACCTTTCATGAACTTATTTAGCTTTTCTACATGTTTTAATTTTGTATAACAGTTCAAAAGAAGAGTCGTGTGATCTTTGGAAGCCTGCCCTCTTTCATGCAATTCTTCTAGGTAATTGGTGAGGTTATCTATTCTCTGTGTATCTAAAAATTTTTGGATAACATATGAAGGTTCTAAATAACCAATGGTGTGGATATACTGAGACATAGCTCCTTTATAATCTTGTTGCCCATATAAATGATCCCCATATTTACGTAGAACTTCAGCAGTGGCTGCAGCATCTGCTTGCTGACTTTGTACAAGATTGACAGCAGTAGGATACAAATTCTTCTTGAAAAGCATATCCAACTTACTCTCCATGTCCTTTTCCCCCAAGCACAAAACCTTTCGGTCATTCATAATCAGAATAATATTTCCCCACTCGCAAAGCATGTGTAAGACCTCTCCAATTACCATACTGTGGGCTATCAAACGATTCTTCAGGTCATAAACATTGAAGGTGTTTTTATTGCTCCTTGGATCAGCAATGACACATAATAAATATCCGCGAAACCAACCAAGGAATCTCTTCTCTCCCTCAAAAGCCCAACAAGGACCTCGACCATCAACTTCATAAAAATAAACAGCCTCAGGGCGACCAATTATAAGTTCCTGATGAATCCAATAAGTGAACAAATGTTAACCAGCAAGCTATGCATTTATACAAATAATATTAAAAAGAAGTATATGAAAAGGAGCTAAAATTTGCATACCAGATGATCACTCATAGCAACAGCATTGAGATTGCATCCAATTTGATCAAGAGTCTGCCTCTTAGGTGGTTGTTCATGCAAGTTGAACAAGCTCACAGAAGTGGGACAAACGGCAAAAAGTTGAAGTGCTTTTCCTTCAACTCGGTATCCTAGCCCTGTAATAGGAGATAGAGTATTCTCCAAAGAAGCCTCCACTTGGAGCCTGAAGCGTGTGATACGCTCACGTGCAATATCGCCTTTAATGCAGTAGATAAAACCCGTTTCTAAACCAATAGAGATCAATAATATGGGAGGAGCATCCTCATGAACTAAAAATGATGTTATCTGCAACTTAACAAGCTTAAAATTAGTTAAGTTTGTACAGAAAAACACAGAATTAACAGTACAAAGAAATTGAAATAAAGAAAAAGCATTTTCAAAATAGAGCTATGGTAGAGAAGAGAGAGCGCTCAGCACCTTTGCTTCAGGAAACTGGTTGGTGAATATCCGCAAAATTTGGATGCAAACAGGACTTGTCATGCTTGACCCCTCTGGTTGCATCTTGTCAAGGTCAAAAACCTTCAAGCAGAGAGGAGATAGCTGGGGAGAGGCTTGCTCGTCCTCTCCAATGGTCACTAGAGAATTCTTTTGCTGATTAATGAGCAAAATGAATCAGAATGGAAAGGTGGAATGTTTTCAATATTCTGGAAAGCTCTTCCCTCTTATTTTCATCATTTGATTTAAGAAATGTATGAAGAGAGAAAAAGAACCTTGAGGTGCTGGAGAAAGAGAACAGAAGAGGTGTGAGCTTGGAAGGTATAGGTGAGTTTGAAAGCTCGATCCAAGAAGCTGACGGTACCATCATTACAGCCTAGTATGATGCGACCTCTCCCACTCGAGCAACATTCAATCTTTCCCGTAATCTCAGCTGGGATTGTACAGATCTTGCCACCACCAGATTTCTCCTCGAAGAACTCGAACCTCTTCCATTGGTACATGTTTTTTCTCTCCTACCTGTCATGGCCCAAAATTACATGTATATTTTATTACTGGTGATCCTCAAGCATCACTATAATAATTTAAATCCTCTGTAATAAACATGAGTCTCAAGCATTAAACAAAAAATTTCCCATAAACCATGTTTTCGCAGACTTTACATCACCAAAGCTAGCACATATACAATCACTAAAGATAACCCATGTTGTTCCAACTACATCAAAAGTTAAAAGGTCTTGTGTGGTTTAATGTTGTTGCAACACCAAAAAGTTGTTGCAACAACAAAATAGGGTAAAAATGGGGCTGTTGGAACATTCACTCAAATTGAATAGTGTTCCAACACCAAGAATTGGAAGAACATGGTGCTGCAATAATACTTGTTGTTCCAACTCCTCAAACCAAACACACTCTTAAGAGTGATACTTCTCTAAAGACTCTGAAATCTAAGGCAAGCCATTTAGCTCCTTTAGATTAGTGCTAGTCTTTCTCATGGCAATAAAACTGAAAATGTGCAGGTGAACTAACACTCATTAAGTATGTAAATCGCAGGTAGCAATTTACAGAAATCAAGCTTAACTGCAAACAAGGACTTCAATACTTCATACCAGAAACGAATGTGCATCCAAGATCTCATACTCCAAATCAAGAAATAGAAACAACCAATAACAATAAACCAATGTGCATTATTCCTTTTTGGCCATGCAGTCATGTAATGGCTAAATGCATGGCAAGTTGGGCACTGAGACAATGCCCTGCAACGCAGTGATCTGGCCCACTACAAGAAAGATTAGGAAAAGATACATCCATGAGTTTTTGTGCTTACGTAAGCCTACAACAAACTGCGAGATGCCTTAATAAGATGCAGTGAGCACCCACATCAGCCTAAATCATAACCGATCTTACTCATATAGGATAAGCAAACTCAAGTACTGAATCCATAATCACAAGTATATCACAGTAGAATCCATTTATCAAAGATTCTTATTATGCATTCATCCTTTATACACAACTTGGTAGCAAGGCCACAAAAGAAATTGCCTCCAGTAGAATTTTATATATTGATAGTGGCGAACCAAAATAATCAACAAACAAGCAGTCAAATAGTCAAGAATATAATTTCAATACTTCAGATTGACGCAGGAATTCTGGGATATACTCCCAACAGCGTATCCTTTTAGTCTCCGATTAATTTCACCAATGTAGAACAATTAGAACCAGCTCACTCTCAAGAATACTCTTAGATTCTTTACCTTACATAAAAACTCTAACCTACTAATAAACCTTATCCTAATTATAAACTCAATATAATAAACCCTTAACATAAATGGAGAAACTCATAGCAATACGCTAATCCTAATCTTGCTTGTAACAATTATAAATCCTAAAAATCAAAAGATATTATACCATAAACCTCACTAAAGCATACATCTCTAGACTCTAATTCTAATTCAAGTTCTTTCCCTCACGTAAAATCCAACTTGAGAGAGAATTTTCTATGCTCTAATTCTACTGGTAATTAAAGTTCTGTTTCTAACTCAAAGCTCTAGTCCCAAACTGGCAGTTGTCCGTTTTTAGATAATTGAAAGCTGCTAGAATGCAATAAAAATACTAATCTGAGCTATTAATCTAAATCCTTGCCATCTAGAAACAGATTAGAGATAAAAAAAATGAACACATCACACAATCTAGTGAATGGATTTGTCAACAGAAACTATTCATTTGAAGAAACTAAACAATTTTTACTGAATTACTGAAAGTTTTCATGAATATATGACGGAATTACTCATTTAACCCAATCTAAAACAAAAAATTATATATATATGTATATAGACACACACACAGAGTCAGAGGATCAGCTATCAAAAGCACAATCACTTCACTTGAGGAAAAATTATTGGGAAAATCTGTACCTTGAGCCAAAAAACCACAACAGATTTTTTTTTTAAAATTAATTTGGGGAAAATCGACTATGCAAACCCCTTCTTCTTCCTCAGATTTTTTGTGTTGGATTTTTCTGCTGTAGAGCTTTTACAAAACTAAGTTTCTTAACGGGTCGGATTAAGATCGAATATAAGATCCGAATCCGGATCCAAGTTATAATGAAAATTTTTATTTGGGCTGTCGAGCATGGCCCAATTCGGCTCACTTTTAGTAGAAATTACTGATTCCTGATTTTTGGGCATGGGTGGTTGCTGTTAAAGTTATAACTAGGGGTGAATTTGGTTCGGATACGGTTCGGATATGACACTTACCATATCCATATCTGCTTTCTAAAAACGAATACAGTTACGGATATTCATCGGGAAGAAAAAGTCTGAACATATCCGCACTAAATGGAAACATATACGGTTCAAATATTAGAGAATCGGATGCGGATACGACATGGATGTCAATCGGATATTTGGGAAACAGATATGAATTGGATATGACAATTGACAAACATTACAAACAACTACAATATTTTTCAATATAATATAACTCAAGTTGACTTTTTTTTGAAACAAAAATACAGCAAATCACCCTATTCAAACTGTATATCTATCTGTGGAACTCACATTTGAAAAATAGTTCGTTGGAAAAAATGGTAACATTTAGATTTCAACGAAGTTTTGGAATTATACATGGATATCTTCTTCAGCCCAAACATCATTGAAAAAAGTTCCAGGATTCGTGAACATTTAGATTTCAACCTGTATAATGTCAGGAAAAATAGAAAGATTCAGCCATATAACTTCCTCATAAGATCATCAAAGTTTTTTTTTTAACACTAAACAAGAGTGTCAAATTCTGCTAAGCACAACAGTCAAATGGATGTACAGTACTAATTCATTCACAATCCATGATCATAAAAACATAAAAGATAAAAAAAACTTTAATCGGAAAACCCTTAATAAAAAATATGATGATATAATCACAAAAAAAAGGGCAAGTGAATCAGGGTTTTTTTTTTTACCAAGGGTTTCGAGTTCCTCTTGTTGATGGACGATGATGGCTGAGTAGGAGGATCGCCGGAGATGGTTGGATTTGATGGTCGCGGGGGATGGAGCTGAGGATTCGACGACTGCTGAGTCGATGAGAGGAGGTAGGCGAAGGGAGGATCAAGAGGATCGGCAAGCGAAGGAGCGACCGGAGGAGCAGCAGCACCAGAAAGAGATTTTGAGAATCGATCTCCGGAGGACAAATTTTCAATTTCGACCAATTTAGAACATTTATTGTACAAATTGACCCCTTTTGTAGTAATTTTTCAAATTCCAAGTGCCTGAAACTGGGTCGAATTTGAAAAAAATTACAAACTTCACGGGACTTCAACTCCAATAAAGTTTTGTTACATAATAAAACTTCACGGGACTTCAAGTCTGTGAAGTTTGTAAGTTTCTTTTCAAATTCGACCCAGTTTCAGCCAGGTGGCTGAAACTAGATCGAATTTGTAAATAATAAGTATAAAAAGGACTGTGTTTTGCAATTAAGTTTGCAAATATGTTGAAATTGAAAATTTGTCCATCTCTGGAGGTAGATTAGGATTTTTTTATGAAACGGGTTGGGTTGGGTCGGGTTAGGCCGTTAGGGCTTCATAAGGATGTATTAGAGTGACCCAGGAGCTTCATGATGGGCTTTTGGGTTTCCAATTCAAATGTTAGCAAATTCGGTCCAAAGCATTTAATCATCGGCCCATTCATTTGAAACTCAAAGCTCCCAATTCCCATGTGATCTGCAGCAAAGAAAATTAAAAGCCCAATCATCTGTAGTAAAGAAACAAGTCCGGTCTTCATTTTATTTTCTACAGCAAATCCGTCCATAAATTTGTAACTTTAGCAAATAAGTCCAATTGCAACTAAAATCAACTCCTTGGTGTAATCTTTCTTGATGGGCTTGGGCCTTCAAGCTCACTTGAGGAATAAAAATAGGAGTTGTGCTGGCTTGATATTGTGGGTTGTGCATTTGAATGATTTGGCAATTCCTTGGTATTTTTGGCTTTATTGCTTCATGGGCTTTAATTCTTCTTTTGTGCTTAGATAATTTGGAAATTTAATTTTCCAATGGGCTTCTTGATTCATTTCTTCATTTAATCAATGGGTTTTTGTTGAGAGATGAGAAGTTGAGATTTATTCTTCATTAACCTGCAATTAAAAATAAAAATAATTATTAGTGGTATATTTATTCATATAAAATAGATAATGAGGATATAAAATTGTAATAAAAATATGATTATCAGGTCGTCGATCAAACGTCCTGCTGTGCTAAAGGCGGATTTCGAAGCTACCGTCGAAACCTGCACTGTTAGTAAGTCACGAACCATGGTGGAAAGTATAGGATATGAAACTGATCCATATACTTTCCACCATTGCAAAATATCTAAAGCATTTCCTTGACATTTAACTAAAGAAGCAGATAAATATTCATCTATTTCAGAAACCTCCAATGATGACGATCCAAGTTCAGATCCACCAGTTAGCTCAGCTACCATTGCATACCTATCAAAACTTACACTTTTACCTCAGGATGAGCTCGAAGAAACCTAAGCTATAGACTATTGTGTAGCTACACCATGTCTAGCTGCATACTCATCATATAAGGTTTGAAAATAATTTCTAATAGCTAAATGATGAGTAGTAGTAGTAAGGGTGGTTCCATCATCTAAGTTTATAATCTGATTACCATACAATGATTGTAACAAACTTCGAAGGCCAATATCCGTCAAGCATGAATCAATAAGAACCCCCAAACCAAAAATATGAGGAATAGGCCTAAAGTACTTATTAAATTTGCTCTCCATTTGAAAAATCATAGGTCCAAAAGTATCATCCATACGATATTTCCCAAAAAAAATTTGAATATTTAAAATTTGTAAAGCAGCTAAAGTAATGGTTGGATAATAACAGCCAGATAATAACATTATAGCATCATAAAAAACTTGTAACATTTCATTTAAATTACATATAATTGTCCATTCATCTTCAGTTATTCCATAAGTGCTACCAAAACTAGAACTAGAAGCATAATAGTTTATAAAATCAGTTATAATGCCTTTATATTCTATTGCTACACTTAACATTGCATAGGTGGAATTCCACCTACAATTAGCATCTTTTGGAATTAGTCTGGGCTTTACATTTTTTCTTTTACAAAATTGTTTTCATCTTTTAAGTCTTTGTTCAGAAGCATTATGCATATAAGCAACTATTCTAACCTTTTCTATCATGGGTTTAATTTCAGTAAATGCACTTTGAACAATTAAATTTAAAATATGACAGATACACCTAATATGAAAAAGATCACCATGACATGATAATGATAAAGTTGATCTGATAAAATCAACAACTACATTATTATTACTTGCATTATCTAGTGAAAGAGAAAATATTCTTTCTGAAATTTCTAATTTTATAAGTTCTTCAATTATTAAATTTGCAACATTAATATCAGTATGTGACTCTTCTATTGTAATAAAAGAAACAACTCTTTTAAACATTTGATAATTTTCATCAATCCAGTGTGATGTTATACATAAATATCCAGTTTGTGCTCTAGATGTCCAAATATCAGAAGTTAAAGAAAATTTACAGTTTAAATTTTTAAAATAAAAAATTATTTTTCCTTGTTCCTCTTGATAATATTTTTAAATATCACGTTGACGGGTTTGACGAGAAAACTTTTTAAATGCAGGATAAAAACCATCTCTAAACATATCTTCAAATTCATCATCTTCTACTAATTTAAAAGGAAGGTTTTTAAGAATGATAAACCTGATTACGCATTTCCTAACTCTGGCAGCGTCATAGTTCCAACTACCGAGACTACCAGAAGAGGAGGATTGAAAAATCATAGATTGTCGGATATCACCTTGAGGAATCTGGCCTTTGTTGTGTTTATCTAAATGGCGTTTGAGGTGGTTGGTGCCGCTCTTATGATGAGCTTGAAAAATCTTGCCGCACAATGCACACTTAGCCTTCTGGGTGAGGATCCTACCGTGTTCATCCTTGGTGACGTCGATTTTCTCGTAAAAATTCCACAAATCGGATCTTGGCCTTTTAGGAGCTCTTGGTGCAGATTCGTCGCCACCGGATTCGGGATTAACTTCGGTAGGAGTAGACCCAGTAGGATGACTCATTTCAAGATCGGGAGATGGGTTTTGCTCTTCATAATCAGATCCGGAAGCCATTTAATGAAAGGATTAGAAAGTATAAGAGAGTATAAGAGTATAAGAGAGAAGTAGATGAGTTTTGGTGTGAAGAAAAAAATAAAAACCCCCTCTATTTATAGAACCAGTCCCCTAAGCAAATGACCAAAATAACCTCACAAAATAGCCGTTTTTTGACCGTTTTTGGGGACAAAACGGTCAAAAGACCGTTTATGGCCGTTATGGTCGGGCCGGGCCGTTTTGGCCACAACGGTCACGGAGTGAGGTCGATCCCTGGACTGAGGGTTATTACGCAAATTTACGTTATTAGACTAGCTAAACCTAATGAGTAAATTAGAAGAGCATGCAATTAAAAAGAAATAAAATAATAACTAAATAAGCGTGGAATTCAATTTAAAAATGAAGAGCAAGGATTGGGTTATCACCAGCAACTTTGATGCTCAATGATGAAATTATTTCAGTTCTCGGTGTTCCTTTGCTCCCTTATAGACCTTCTTCATGTTTGGGCAAGAGTCACGCGGATAGTTCAAAGATTGTTTTTGCAGTCGTTTACTTCTGTTGATTCCGCTTGCATAAAAAGAAAGTGAGAAGCAAAGAGAAATAAAAAAAAGAAATCTAAGTCAGCTTAATAAGCGTAAGGGCATCAATATTATCACATCCATCGTCACCCCCGGCAATACGCCAAAACTTGATAGGCAAATTGCAAGCGCACGACTCGTTATAGCTATCAGGTCGAATCCCACAGGGACTAGGGTTAATTACCGAAATTTCACCGCTATTAAGACTAGCAATAAACTAATGAGTTAAATTAGAAGAGAATGAAATTAAAAGAAATAAAGATAATATATCTAATCCAGGTGGGAATTCAATATAAATGAAGAGCAAGATTGGTTTATCACCACAACTGTTGATGCTCAATGATGAATTATTGTCAGTTCTCGGTGTTGGTTTAACTAAAAAGGGTGAATTAGCCTAATTAATCAAAGCTTTTTCAAGGTCTAAAGGATCAATGCCTACTAATCTCAATTAATCTACTTTCGTTGGAATTAAGATTAAGTTAAACATCATTAAGCTTTGAATGCTAATCCAAATCAAATCCTAAAGGAATCTAGGGCCTATTCGTGGTTTCGAGCTCCCTGCTTAATTTCTAGAGAATCGCGGTATTAATCTTCACCTTTCAGTGCCTTCATTACCCTTACCTATGATTACTAATACGGTGATCAGTCGAATGCAACAAAATTAACAACAGCTAGAAATCAAGTTTAAAAGATTTAAACTTTCAGCCACCGACTATATCAATCTCATGCAATCAATCACAAAAAGTTGGGTTCTTTCCCAATCCTAGACAGAAATCCTACTCACACATGAGTTGGGATAAGAGAATAACATCAAAATAATTAAGGCAAATCAATATAAGACAGCAAATAAATCAAAAGGGAGGGAAAGAATTAACCCGTCTTTCATTGAGATCTTTCAAAATCAAACTTGCAATCCAATCTTGTAGCAAGAATTCAGTGTCATTTTCTTCATACAAATCTTTGAACTCGGCAAAATAATTGCTATTTGATGGCTACATGAGAAGCATAACAAAAGATATCCAAACCCTAAGTCAAAAACATCTATTTATATGTCCAAAAATCTATAGAAAAATTAAGCTAATTCCGGCGCAACTAGGTGTGGGTCTGGCACTACACCAGGGTGTGGTAGGGGCTGTTTGCTGATTTTTGTGGCTTATTTACTTTAGTTTTCGTATTTGGCTATAAGCTTTTGCGTCCCGACCTCCGGAATGAGGTGATTCAAATTGGCGTTGGAACTTTGTTGAAGAGATCTAGCAAACTTTGCATCTTTAGAGTTTTTGCTGATTCGAACTGCATCATGTCGTAAATTGCAGTTTCTTCATACTCGTGCATCATTTTCTGCACGAAACTCATGCCTTCGAAATCTTGTTGTTGCTTAAACTGCTTGTAATCATAAACTTTCAAACGATCATCAATGTTTCAATCTTGAGCCAATACTACGTATACAGAACACAAACCGACAACAGTAG